TTTCCTCCATTCTCCTCTCGGGATCTTGGGCACACACGCACACGCGCCTGGCGTGAGTTTAAGCCACCGGGTCCGGGACTCAAACCGTGGTCGACTACGTGGGAGTCCAGCGACATAGCCATTACACTAACTGCTGGTCCCCAGATTTAAATTTTTTAATAAAATTTTATGGTAAATGGACTAGCAGATGGCATGATGGTTATGTCGCTGGACTCCCATATGGCTAACTGCAGTTCAAGTCCCAAACCTGGCAGCTTGAAACTCACACCAAGCATGTGCATGCATGCCCAGGATCCTGAGATGAAAATAGAGAAGGGATTGTAGCATGGCCATCCCCCCTGGGGGGAGGAGGTTGGTTTCTCACTTTCTGCCTCTCTGTCTCTGTCTCTGATGAGCACACATGCCTTATAGCAAACATTTCTCTCTCTCAAAAAAAAATATATATATATGTATGGCAAAGACATGTCACTTCCTTCTTCAACTTCTCCTAAAAATAGACATTTAATAATTAACTTTCTTTCTTTCTTTCTTTTTTTTTTTTGGAGAGGTTTTTGCTATAGGGTGCATGCACTCTCCAGAAAGATACAGAGACAGAAAGTGAGAAATCACCTCCCAGGGGGGATGGCCATGCCACAATCCCTTCTCCTCCATTCTCTTCTCAGGATCTTGGGCATGCACACATGCACCCGGCCTGAGTTTAATCCACCAGGTCCAGGACTTGAACCATGGTCGACTACATGGGAGTCCAGCAACATAGCCATTATGCCAACTGCTGGTCCCGATAATTCATTTTCTAATACATCCAAGGCAAAGTTTTTGGCCTAAGGTATAAAATCTCTTTAGATTTTTCTTTTTCCTTCTTTTTTTTTTTTTGAGACGTTTTTGCTATAAGGCACGCGCGCTCGCTAGATAGACAGACAGAGATAGAAAGCGAGAAATCACCCCCCAGGGGGCATGGCCACGCCGCAATCCCTTCTCCTCCATTCTCCTCTCCGGATCTTGGGCACGCGCACACACACGCGCCCGGTGTGAGTTTTAAGCCACCGGGTCTGGGACTCAAACCATGGTTGGCTACATGGGAGTTCAGCAACATAGTCATTACGCGAACTGCTGGTCCCTCTTTTTCCTTTTTTTAAAAAATTTGCTAGAGGGTGTGTGTATTTGCCTGACAGAGACAGAGACAGACACAGAGAGAGAGAGAGAGGGAAAATGAGAAATCACCCCGGGGGATGGCCATGCTACAATCCCCTCTCCTCTGAGGATTGTGGACATGCATGTCCAAAATGCGCCTGGCATGTTTTTCAAGCCACCAGATCTGGGACTTGAACTACTCAGTTGGCCATATAAGATCCAGCCACCTTAACCACTATGCTGACTGGCCCAGCCCATGCATTTCTTACTTGTGATCTAAATTTCAGTAAATATCTTCACGCAGCGTTGAGTCGGTACTAGGGACCGCTGTTTTAAGGAAGTTATTAATACAAATCTGTGCCATGTCCGGAGGTGGGAGAAACCTGTAGTTGAGTATGTCTTAGAATCTGAAACTTGAAATAAAAAGAGTGAGTCAGGCCATGCCTGTTTTTCCTCCTAACTTGATACCATATACATACAAGTTAAATAAAGTAGAGTTTATCCGTCACTTGGGTTTGTAAGTTAGTGGACTAAGTGATCTGTGAGAAACTTCACCAACCATAGGTCTGAGATAGACCGATGTTGTCATTCTTATTTTTTCTTTCTTTCTTTTGAAATTTGTTATAGGGCATGTGTGTTCAATGGAGAGAGAGAGAGAAAGAGAGAGGGACAGTGAGGAAACACCTCCCCGGGGATGGCCGCACCAATCCCTTCTGCATTCTCCTCTCAGGAATTTGGGCATGCGCACACACTCACTTGACGTGCTTTTCAAGCCACCAGGTCCAGGACGCGAACCGGGCGGTTGGCCACATGGGATCCAGCTGTGATAACAATACCTCACTAGCTAACCTGACATCATCATTTTCAACATTAAGCTCACTTACCTGTATTGAGAGGCTTGGTGTTGACCTACTTTTGCTTATTAACCCTCATAAAATTACAGAACTTCATCTCCTCTTGCCCAATTCACAATTGATTCATCAATTGATTATTTCTGTCTCTAATTCCATTTTCTTTTTTCACAGATGCCTCTTTACTTTTTATTTATCTAATTTATTATTATTATTTTGGAGGTTTTTATCTTAAGGAACATGTGCTCACCAGAGAGAGAGAGAGAGACAGTGAGAGGGAAAGTGAGAGATCACCCCCCCACCCCGGAGGAAATGGCCACACCACCATCCCTTCTCATCCATTCTCCTCCTGGGATTCTGGGCATGCACGCGCATGCCAGTGTGATATTTAAGCCACCAGGTCTGGGACTTGAACCGTGGTTGGCCATGTGGGAGTTCAGTGACGTAACTGCTACGGCATCTGCTGACCCCACGGATGCCTCTTTAGATGTAAAGAAGGAGTCTCCTCTCTTTGAAGAGGTTTTGCCAGTCAGAACTGTGGAAAATAGGGCTGGCTCCGTAGTCCAGTGGTTAAGGGAGCCAGATCCCACATGGCCAATTGTGCGGTTTGAGTCCCAGTCCTGACAGCTTGAAAAACACCAGGCTCACGCGCATGCTTCCCCAAATCCCAGCAGGATGGAGAAATGGAGAAGGGACTGGGGCATGACCATGCCCCTTTGGGAAATGCTTTGTCTCTGTCTCACTGTGCCTGTCTCTGGCAGGTGAACATACTCTCTGGCGATTAAAAGAAAGAATGTGGGGAAATCGTTCCTCCAAAAGCAGGCAGAAGCTAAGAAGCTGGAGCTGAGGGAGCAGGAGAGCTGTGTGTCGCCTCAGGGCGGTGTTCCCGGGAAGTGCACGAGAAAGGGAGCGGGTCTCAATAACCAGTTCTGCGTCTAGGGTGAAATTAGTTAAGCAAGGTGAGACCCTAATAAAAGCAAACTGGGGCAAAACATATACAATAATAAGGACTTGAGCTGGGCATCAGTTTGAGGGTTATGCCAGGGTACAGCCAGGGGTGCATCATTTAAAG